AAAAAATCAATGATTACTAAACGGATCGATGAAAATGTTGAAAACGGACAAAAATGGACTGTCGGACCGAACATTTCTGGTTGAACCAGGCGAGTGTGATGACTGTGTCATGGACCCAAAACTTTAAAACATTTTTTGTGATTCAGAGTGCAATTGGATTAGGTGTTCATTAACAATATAAAACAAAGGAGTTTGAATTGGATAGAAAGTGGTTAGTACACGAACAATTGATGAGTTACTTTTGAAAGCGATCTGCGTTAAATCAAACGAATTGAACATAAGTAGTAATCAAAGCAAAACAATGCAACGTCCGGATAAAGCAACTCGCCCATCTCTACAAGTTACTACCAGTCTAGCCGAGTAAAACAAGCCGATTCTGATAATTCAAACCCAAAAAAAGTGTGCCTGCACAAACTCGCCTACTATAAGCCTAATATTAATAGCTGTCACCTAACAGGAACTCTGATCAAGTTGCCACAGAGATCGAGAGCGAATCCCACAAACATAACCTTTGATCGAAAAATTTTAATCTAGTAGATTTCAATTTTTCTACTAAAGCCTTAAGTTAACTGACTAGAGGAAGCGATTAGCCGCGGGTTAGGTTTGCTAAGTTTTTACCACCAGACCGTTTTTCGGCGTAGGCAACGAGCTAAGAATAAGAACTCTAAGCTTAGAAAAATAGGGCGTCAATTCAAGTCTTTTGAAGGGTTTTTTCGTTTAGTCGTTGAGGTTTATAATCAACATTATTTTGAATTGGGAGGCAGTAATTTTTGTTTGCAAGAAATGTTTAGATATTAATTGCGTTTTTAATTCATTTAAGTTTCGTGCTGTTGAGTTTAGTTGTATGCATGAACAGACGGATTCGCAGCTCATTTTCCACAAATTCAGAGTGCGTACGAGACAAAATTAAACTCAATTTTTAAATAATTGTTAAGAACATTTCAAATTCTTTGTTGTATTTGAGTTCAAAAATATCTTGCGTTTTTCGCTATAAACAGTCCAGGCTCTATGGGCTTTAATGGGCTAAGCACATTTAAATGCGGGAGCTAAAGTTATTCATAATAAAATAGTTTTTCATATAAAACTAAGACTAGATGAAAAAAAAACTTTCAAATTTTAAAAATTTTGCATTATGGACAAAGTGAGTAGATACTCTATGTTTATGCTTCACTGCGGTTCAACACGTACTGTCCAATCTGACCGAAAGTAACTCAAATATCGAAGATACTTAATAAAACCTCTGTCGAAAAAACTACGGCATTTTCCGAAATTGTTCATGAAAATCGAAATGCCGCACAAATATTAATTGGTTATCAAAGAAAATCAGTAACAACCAGTTAGTTTATTCTAACACTTTTACCTGGTTTGTAAGTTAAACTTGGTGTGCATACACTTTTCTGCACTACGTGGATGTGACGAAAAAGCGGAAACATAATTTTCTCTGCCAGAAGGGAAACTCAAAATATGCGTTTTTTAAATTTACGCTTTCTGTATACCATTAATCAATTATTAGTTGTAAAATACATGCTTTGATCAGTGCAAATTTCGAGGTTCGCTAACCTCAGGCACCCCCTGATTGCTGATGGCCTCAGGCTGATGACAGTTAATAGGCTCGCGACCGATCCTGGGGGTGCCTGAGGTTGGCGAACCTCGAAATTTGCACTTGCATGGTTTCTTGTTAGGATGTTGCCGACGAAATTCCTGTATTTACACATGCTTAATATTATCTATTAACGTTTTTTCTGCAAAGACAAGGACTCCTGTAAAGGAAGCGTAATTTTTAATCACCTTAGAAGGTACGGGTCCACTGGATACTTTTGTATGGCAACATGCTGAAAACACGTGTTTCTTGTCGACAGGGCAAATTAAACGTGTATCGCAACAAATTTCGTGTTGCGGCTATACACCGCTTGATGCCCGACAACATTTAAGTGGACAGATGTTTTCTTGTTGCGCTTGTGTTTCGTATGAAAAAATGTGGCTTGTTTTTCAGGATTTATCGCAGTAAAAATTTTTCAATGGAGAAATGGTTAAGGGATGAAATATTGAAATTAATTGCGGAATTTTTGCAGTCTTTTAGTATCTGTCTTCGTTTTCGAGTTGTTTGCACAAATATAAGTCCATGTAGGGTTCCTGAGTGATTTTTCATGAATTTCCTTAGAATTTTTTTGCATTTTGCGGCTCCCACTCCGGCCTCTTCGCGCCTGAGGCTTGGGACGCACAAATGCACTTTGAATTCGACATTTTTCTCTTAGTGCGGGTGCATCTGTAGATCTGATAAATTTTTCAAATACATTGCGTTATTAAACTGACAGTGATTCTGATTTATCAATTATTGAGTGTGACATTATTGTGTTGGTGCAGTTTATTTTATAACGCTGATAACAATGAATCAACAAATTATCAAGGGAGAAGCTGCAGATACTGGAAATACTAGGTAAAGGGTGCTCATGTACTATATGCCTGTTCGAGTTTCGCCTTCTTTTAAATTTACAATTAAAGTACACACACAATTATACACACTGAACCAGTTTAAGTGCAAAAAAATGCAGATCGTCCATCAATTTGCAGAAAAATGTATTACAAACTTTTGAAAATCATCTTCAAACGACCGGGTATTTATCATTGCAA